AGAACTAGACTGAAACCCATTCTCACCACATCAGCCCACCCTGATCATAAGTCGATCTAAATATGAAGATTGTGCTTATGAACAACACCTAGTGGGTGAGACAGTACCTGCTCGATCTACTTCCATTTTAAAGCTGCTCCCATACTGTATGCTTGGACGACAGAATACCCTGAATATCCGACTCTTTATTTAGTACATTGCTCAAGTGATTCTCTGAATTGTCCCATACAACACACAAGTCACACGAATAAACTAACACCACAGAACAACACATTGCAGCATACAACTTCAAACACACAACAATCCATGATACACACACNACATACAACTTCAAACACACAACAATTCATGATACACACAAAAAAAATAAAGCAATTAGACATCAAGGCCATCACCTGATTATGGAAACATCGAGGCGAGGCGTTTACATCCCTATCAAACCATAGTAACCGTTAGGCCAGAAGGGACCATCTCGTTTACTAGTAATTCTTTGTATTTTCCGCTTCGGCTCTTCTGGTCCAGTCAGGAAAAATAGTTGATCTTCTTTCTTGTCCTCGTGCCGACGATCTTCAATCCATAGTGTATCGGAAGCTCTTTACGCTGTCTCTCCCTCGTAACCTCGTTTGTACGTGCTNCAAAAATAAAGCAATTAAACATCAAGGCCATCACCGATTATGAAAACATCTAGGCGAGGCGTTTACATCCCTATCAAAACATAGTAACCGTTAGGCCAGTTTGGCCAGAAGGGACCATCTCGTTTACTATTAATAGTAATTCTTTGTATTTTCCGCTTCGGCGCTTCTGGTCCAGTCAGGAAAAATAGTTGATCTTCTTTCTTGTCCTCGTGCCGACGATCTTCAATCCACAGTGTATCGGAAGCTCTTTACGCTGTCTCTCCCTCGTAACCTCGTGTGTACGTGCCAGCACCAAGTTCCAGGCTCTTCGTCGAATGTTTTGAGATTCTCCAGTTTGAGGTGAACATTTTCTTGTCTTGCGAGGTCCAAGAACTTGATTGTATGAGGATGTTCCACACTCTCGCCATCCTCCGCCACCATCGTTACCTTAGCAATCTGCCATCCGGAATCACGCGTTTTGTAATAAATGTATGATCCGATTATATCAGTGCCATATAAGGTGGGTCGCTCGCGAGTGTCGCAGCAGACCTTAAACCCTTCAGCAACATGTCTTCCTCCAGTCAGCCGTGCAGCAGCCCTCTTAGCACACTGTACTCGATACCTCCGGTATTTAGCATTCTCTCCACCGACCAACTCAATCTTGCCGGTCCAATACCGCATTACAAGATTTCCATATTGCATCAATTCCTCTTCATGTTCCCATGTGCAAAGTTTGGTCTCGTCCCAATGAGTAAAATATTGAACAGCAATCTTTCCCGATAATCCTCGCACCAGCCGATGCTTAGATATCTTCCAAGGAATGTTTCTATGCCTGTCCAAATTCAACTGCACATCTGCATCTGTCAGATGGTAGGGTGGTGATAGCTCCGAGTATTTGTTGAGGACGTAGTTACTCATTGCCCAAGGCAAAAAGTTTGGTTTGTCTGTCTCTGAATGGTGGTTGAAACACTTATTGACCCTTAACACAGACACTCTGGAGGTGATATCCTTTCCAGGTTCATCTTTCCTCACATCCAGTAAAACCAATTTCGGTCCCACCTTTCGGCCATCTGGAGCAATACCGGGCCCAACGAATAATACTTTATATGGCCCCGTCCAGCAATAAGCCAGTTTAGCCAACAAAGCAAAGGACTTTCGGTCTCCCGATTTAAGATTTTGGGGCTTTAGAACATGTTTTCCACCTCCGGTAACAACACTTTGTTCATTGTACAGCCACACCCAATCTCCTTCTTCAATTTTTGGCCTTCGATTCCCTATTTTCTCCTTTAGGGCTTCGTTTTTCTTTTCATGTTTTGCCTTTATCAACCTGTCCTCCTCTTTGACCAATTGGTATGCCTTGATTTGTCTTTCCCGCATCAGCTTGAGGTAATCCAACTGATCCTGCCTCAGGCTTTGGTGACCTTTCACGCCACGACCTTCCAAAATCGTCATGGGTAACCTGGTATACCGGCCTATATGCACTTCGTTGGGGGACAAACCCGTTCCTCTGCTGACATTGTTGTTATGGGCTGCAATAGCAATTCCCAACCACTCATCCCAATTTTTCTGATCATCTGAAATCAGGTGAGACAACATCTGACAAAGTGTATTGTTCAACCTCTCCATCATGCCATTTGTTTGCGGATGATAAGCGCTAGTAAACATCTTTTCAGTCCCCTGCATACGATAAACCGCTCTGCTAACAGGGGCAGTAAATTCTGTACCTCTGTCAGACAAAAACGTATGAGGACATCCCCACTTTGGAATATCCTGATTTACCGGTACAGAAGGNGAGTATGGTTCAACCTCTCCACCATGCCATTTGTTTGCGGATGATAAGCGCTAGTAAACATCTTTTCAGTCCCCTGCATACGATAAACCGCTCTGCTAACAGGGGCAGTAAATTCTGTACCTCTGTCAGACAAAAACGTATGAGGACATCCCCACTTTGGAATGTACTGATGTACCAGTACAGAAGAACATCCTTGGGCTGTCTTCTCTTCGGCGGTCAAAGCATATGCTTCAGCATATCTGCTGAATAAACCCACCACCAGGAACACATACTGCTTTCCATTCTCAGTTTTAGGTAAAGGGCCTAAAAAATCAAAAGCCACAATTTCACCAGGTCTACTCGGTAAGGGTAATGATGCCAATGGCCACCTTTTTGTGTGTCTAGGTGTCTTCCTAGCCTGGCATGCATAGCAAGCGCGGCACCACCACTTGACACTTTGGCTTTGACCAACCCACCAATAAAACCTTTTCAGGATTGCAAGGGTAACTTTCTCACCGAGATGAATGGCTTCCCGATGTGCACAGTCCATCACCCAAGGTCTCAGAAGTATCGGCACGTAAGTTCGTACAGGCTCTTCTCCAAGTAACCTCTCGTACTCTCCAGGATTCCTGTTAGGCCGATCAGCAGGCATTGTGGTTAAACTTTTTACCAACAATTTCTGTCCACCTGCTAACTCCAGGAGTTCGCCTTGTGCCAATAACCCTTTAACTTCCTCAATATCAACGTCCTTGGGTAAGTCACCCTCTGTAACTTCAGACATTTTGGTCCCTTTCTGTAACAGCAGGATTGCCATTCTGGAAGTTGCATCCTTTTTCTGAGCTTCCGCCCAATCTGTAGCCTTTTTCCTGCAGAGGTTCTTCCCAAAATCCCTCGCTTCTTGACTATCCCATTCTTCAAATGGCATCATATCATCCGTAGGCTCAGGTATAGTATCGTCGTCTCCATTCTCTCCCTCCGAAAACAGTACTTGGGGTTCATCCGCCACGAACCCACCCAAGCTTGACACTACGGTCAAACAAGTTTGCTCCGACTCAGGAAACTCACCACGTGAACTCAAGAAATACACATCGACGTCCCCTGGATCAGTGAGTCGAAGTGCAGGACTGGAGTCCTCTGGTGTTGCTGGCAACGGAAGTCGTGACATCATATCAGCATTCCCGTTTTTCTTGCCTGGTCGGTAATGCAACGTATAAGTGTACGCGGACAGAAAATCAAACCATCGTTGAACACGGTTAACCTTGGAAGAAAGACTTTCCAGATTTAACAGCAGCGGTTGATGATCCGTGACCACCTCGAAAGGAATACCGTAGAAAAATTGTCGATTTTTCTTTATGGCCCAGACTAAAGCACCACACTCAAGTTCCGTTGACGTCCACTGCTTTTCATTGGGAAGCATAGAACGGCTCAAGAAACATAGAGGTCGAGTCGAACCATCGGGTTGATCCTGTTCGATCACTGCACCCAAACCATCCTGGGATGCATCTGTGATAACCCGAAATTTCCGAACTCCCGATATCGCATCACGATAATTCGGAAAGGCTAGAACATCTGGACTAGACATTTTTTCCCTCAAACGTTGCACTATTTCAACATGTTCAGTGTTGAAAGCAAATTTGACACCCTTGTTCAAAAGGTTGTTAAGAGGACGAGTGTGAGCGGCCATGTTCGGAAGGAAGCTTCTCTAATAGCTCAGCCCACCCAAGAGTGACCTTAGCTGGCTAACAGTATTTGGCATTGGAATCTTTTTCAGACTAGCCACCTTCGCGGGATCCCGCTTAAGACCCTGTGCCGTAACTTCATGTCTAAGAAACTTCACTTTAATTCTCAGGCAAGTTTTCTTCGGTGCCAGTTTAAGGTTAAATCTGGTCAACTTCTCAAAGAAGTGTGTCATATCAACCACATGTTCTTTTCCACTTTTCGAGAAAATCACAATGTCGTCAATAAACAACTTGCACCTCTCAAGACCTTCACATACACGTAACATTATGCTTTGGAACCAACCAGGAGAACTGGCTAATCCCATCGGGCATCGAGTCCATTCATAATTCCCGAATGTCGTACATACCGCAGTGATAGGTATACTATCAGGGTGAATCGCGCACTGGAAAAATCCAGAGATCAGGTCCATCGTACTGAACACCTTGGCTCCTTCCAAGCCTGACAACAAATCGGCAACCGTAGGCAAGGGCAGCACCGGGATTATAGACTGCTGGTTGACCTTTTCGTAATTGCAAGTCAAACCAATTTTTCCGTTCGCTTTAGCCACCACAACTTACGGAGAAGACCAATCGGAATACGACCATCGCAATATTCCAGCAAGCAACAGACGCTCGATCTCGCATTGCACTTTGGCCGCGATTACAGGCGAATGGCGATACGGTCTTTGCTTGACAGGTTGGGCGTCCTTCTTCAATATGATTTGGAAGGGATCCACTGTAACGTAACCCATATCTGTAGGGTGTTTGGAAAATCTATCTTCCACGTTACAAAGTAAATCAGCAAGATCATCAATGTCCGAAGAGGTCCACAATTTTGCCTCGAAATCAAATTTAATTGATTGTAGATGTACCGGAATTTTATCCCATAAATCCCTAAACGCTTGTTGTTGGTCACCATCCAATCCACGCAATACAGCTTCAGGCGGGTCTTTGATTATCTCACANTCCACAATTTTGCCTCAAAATCAAATTTAATTGATTGTAGATGAACCGGAATTTTATCCCATAAATTCCTAAACGCTTGTTGTTGGTCACCATCCAATCCACGCAATACAGCTTCAGGCGGGTCTTTAATTATCTCACACTCTTTGACTTGCCCGTCAGGAACATCTTCCGCGACTGCTCCGACGTGTACGTCTGGCCCAGAACTTGGTAGTTCCTCCAAGACACCCAGCTCTAGCTTGGCACCCCCTGATCCCAAGCACATCCCCGTCTGGACCAGGAAATTTTCTTCACCCGTCCGGTGCAAAGGGATCTCCGTTGTCCCAGCATCGACAAGGGCCTCCTGTGGGGACCATCCATTTGCAAAATGGACATAATAGGAGCCTTTATTAGCATCAGTGTCATCTGAGTTTTTCAGTTCCACCTTAACCCAGGATAGAGCATCAGGCAATCTCATGGGACGACCCGCATATCGCACGATGACTTTCTTATCAGATTTGGGTTCAACCCAGCTAACCGCATCATTTACCCATGCGGAAAACTCCGGATCTGTCGCTGGCGAATCCTTAATGGACCCCATGAAAGTCATCATGGTTTCGTCGTCACTGACGTCCACGTATTTTCTTTGGGGAAAATCTTCCCAACTGTCTCGACCCAATAAAACAGCATGCATCATGGCTTTATCCGGAACGACATTAGCGAAAACTGCCAAGCATGCAGTACTAGCGCCAATATTGCGTGGTACGTGTCGGCCACCCCGCCACATATGCACATTTCTTCGAACTCGCTTCGACGTTTTTAACGGAACACCATTGAAACGACCCCATTGCAATGTGTTTCCTGCTAGGATCCCATCATCGGATGCTGCCCCACACGCGAGCATTTGGGTCACAGTGGTTTCTTTTATAAATGAAGCAGGGCTTCCGGTATCTAACAATGCCTCACATCCAAATGTTTGGGTCGCTTTAGATCCTGCAAACAAGGACACTGCAGCGTTGTGATTGCTTCTGTTCAAAGTCACATCACCGCCTACCACGCGCGAAAATTATTTCAAATAATCCGCTCGTTCACCCGATTCAAGCCTTTCCTTGTTGTTATTAAACGCGAAAATGTTATCTTCATTTTTCGCACTGAAATTAACACCACTACTCTCTGCAGCATCATCGCCGATATTAGGTCCAATTATCGGTGAAAGGGTTCCTGCGGAGCAAGCAGCATTTTTGTCAACCTGCATTGCTCTCACTTTAGTCGTTGCATCGTATTTTTCTATCTCACGATGAACACTGAGTTGTGCAGAATCAACGTCATCACTCGCCTTCAGGATTGACGTGCGGGAACCTGCAGAGCCTGCAGTCCTCGGAGTCCCTCGACCCAGGAATCCGGTCACCCTGGACAACTGCCGTGCTCGCCCTTTTGCAAAACCACCCCGAGTGACCTGACCTATGGGGGGTACAAACTTCGCCTGGCCGGACGAAGGGGGTCCACTCATAACCCCTGCAGCTACAGACATTGACGACTTGAGCGTTGTATCTTTGACTGCTACACTCAAAAAATCAGAACCTCGCGTTCCGTGTGACTTTCCGCTTCGAATGTCAACGTTCATCGGGGGCCTATTCTGACGATTGTCACCATTCGGACGGGCGACTCCCTGAACAGAATGTGGAACTTCAACAGTTGTCACATCGGAATTAGGAGTTGTGCACTTTGGTGCTTTTGTGGGCACTTCATACATTGGAAAGGGGTAATTACTTCCTTTCTCTCGGTGCTCGAGGTCCGCGACATACACACCGTTGTTACCGCTTGTCTCAAGATTCGTGGCGCGCAACACGGATCTCTCATTTTCTATCTTTTCGGTCGCCGGAGGTTCTTTGTTTACTCCAAACTTTCTGCTTCCCAAAGCAACACGCACGTCTTGGGATATAATGTGCGTTTTTGGCCGCTCTGCTATCAACAAGTGGGCCGGGTCGTTGTTTGACATGTCACCCGCTGCGACGGTTCCCACGGTTGAATCTTTTCTTCCGTTGGGTATCCGCCCATGAGCACAACCTCTGTTGCCAACGGCGCCAATTTTTTTCCACCGTCTCGGGGTCACCAACGGCAATGTCGGGATGGATCAAGCCCGACACATTCATGAGTTTGTCAGGGCATTCTCTTGCCAAGTGGAACGGTTCTTCCACACCACAATTACGAGACTTTGGCCCGAACTCTCGCCGAGCTCGGTCCCGTTCTTGATTATCAGAAAGCTGCACGAAGAAGTTTGGGTCATCATCGTTGCGCCCAAACCCCTTGTTTCCGCGCGACACCTGGCTAACCTGCCAGAATTCCCGCGACTCATCGTAATACTGGGCCACTGTTATTACCGCACGCGCACTTGCACTACCTTGCGGGGTCAGGGAACCGCTTTTGGCCCCAGAAAACGAACCACCACCACCGTATCTACCTCGGGAGCTAACCGACATGCCCGCTTGCCCTCGTGGCATGACGGACCCTACTCCCCGCACATGCACGGAAGCCGTTGCAGTAGTAGTATTGTCGGTCATATCATCCAGAGCCTCCATGAGACTCTCTAANAACCGCTTTTGGCCCCAGAAAACGAACCACCACCACCGTATCTACCTCGGGAGCTAACCGACATGCCCGCTTGCCCTCGTGGCATGACGGACCCTACTCCCCGCACATGCACGGAAGCCGTTGCAGTAGTAGTATTGTCGGTCATATCATCCAGAGCCTCCATGAGACTCTCTAACGAGTCATAGGGTAAGGCCTGCGTGTTCCTACCATGGAACACTGGTGCGGTGCACGTGGCATACTGATCGGTGACACCTGCCTTCACGGCGACTTGCAGTGTACCATCTTCTGCAAAGCCAACCATCTGAACACTTTCGACTAACACCTTCAGGTCTTCAAGATACGCTTTGAAGGTCGTGCCAGCCGGAACCGCAAAGTTCTGTAGCTGTTGCAGTACCAGCGCCGGCGTCACCGTGCTCAGCCCGCTGCAGACGGCCCGCAGCAACAGTTTCAGAGCGTCCGGCCCACTCATGCCCGAATCCGTCGCTCTGACGGACTGGTTGACCGCTGCCACTAGGATCTGTTTGGTAGCCGCAGATTTCGCGTGGTTTTTTCGAACGGGTTTGATGAGGTGACGCTCTAAAACCTTTTCCCATCCTCGAACCCAATGGTCCGAGTCAAAGTCTTGCGCACTGGCGCGAATTTGCTCGACGGATTTGGTGATGGCCGAGGAGAGTTGGACAAGCTCCACTACATCATCACCGTTTTGCAACGGGGTCAACGGCATTGTCATCAAGTTTTTGGTTGCCATTACAGCAAATTTTCCCCGAATAGCATTGTCGTGCTCGGTTTTGACAGGGTCTTTTTCGGCAGGAGCGGGAGTCGGTCGTGTTACCTCGGCTAGAGGAGCGACAGGCGTAACCGGCTCGCGTTTTACCAACGCAGGATTGGTTTCCGGTTTAACGGTCGGATCGGACTGAGGTTGNTTGTTGTGCTCGGTTTTGACAGGGTCGTTTGCGGCAGGATCGGGAGTCGGTCGTGTTACCTCGGCTAGAGGAGCGACAGGTGTAACCGGCTCGCTTTTTCCCAACGCAGGTTTGGTTTCCGGTTTAACGGTAGGATCGGACTGAAATTTGACAGCCGCAGACCCCCGTTCAAGAGCAATCGGAAAGGATGTGTCTATAGCTTCCGGCACCACCGCGGAAGAACTCTCGTCCGGTCTACCCAACAGGACCGGTTCTTCGTACCCATCTTCGCTATCACAACCGTCAGATTGATCGGACCTGTTCTGGCGTCCACCGCCTCGTTTTTTCCACGAGGAGCCAGAACCACGCCCAGACTGGCTCCCGCTGGAGGCCGAGCCATCGCCGCGCGGACTCTGCCCTCCACGGCCTTGGTTGCGCCCGCGGTCCTGACCACGCTGGTGTCCAGGGCTCCCACGCGTCCCGTTACCTCCAGGGGCACGCCCGTCGACAGACCCGGAGTCCCAAGCCTTGCGCTTGCCGCGCTGCTCCGTGCGAAACCGGCGTATAGCAGCAAGCCCCTTTAGAGCCTGCTCGAAGGACATCGTCGGATCATGTTGGACAAGCACCCGTGCATCCTTGGACATTTGCGCCGCCTCCTTCATTTCGGCGGACAGGAANATCGGATCATGTTGGACAAGCACCCGAGCAGCCTTGGACATTTGTGCCGCCTCCTCTATTTCGGCGGACAGGAGACCGGGCACCTCCCCCTTGACCTCAGCACCGCCCGATGCAGGAGCAGGATCAACGACAGGGAAGGCATCGTGAACCACCTTCCGGACCCTGGACTTGGCGACCGCCTTGATGGTGGCCATGTCCGATGCGGAGACCTTGCGGAGAGCATCGGCGTCGCGAGCCGCGCGCTCCGCCCGTTTGTCGGTTACACGCTGAAACTCCACGGGGTCCCGCAGTAGGGGCACCGGGCGTATCANTCGTGAACCACCTTCCGGACCCTGGACTTGGCGACCGCCTTGATGGTAGCCATGTCCGATGCGGATACCTTGCGGAGAGCCTCGGCGTCGCGAGCCGCGCGCTCCGCCCGTTTGTGGGTTACACGCTGTACCTCCACGGGGTCTCGCAGCAGGGGCACCGGGCGCATCGACCGGCCCTCCGCGCTGAGGACCGACTCCGCCATCCGCGCAGTCGCGTGCCCCTCACCGCGAACCGCGCGAACCCGGCGCTCCGCCTCCTCCCGGGCCTCCCGGCGCTCGCAGACCTGCGCCGCGGCATGCCGGTAGACACGCTCACGCTGGCCGCGAGCGACGTTGACANCGCGCCGCGGCATGCCGGTAGACACTCTCACGCTGGCCGCGAGCGACGTTGGCTTCCGCGATGAGCTGGCGCCCGTCCGCCTCAAGCAGCTCGAGCGCCCGCTGCTCTCTCCGGAGCTCGGCCGCCCTACGCTCGCAGGCCTCCCGCTGGGCGCGCACCAGCTCCGCATTTTCGGACCGGGCCGCCACAGCCTTCCGCTTTTGGGCTACTACGTCCCGGTGCGCTTCCTCCGCCCGGGCGGACGCGGCCTCCTCTAAGCGTCGGCTCAGGGCCACGTCGGCGGCAGCCGCTTTGCGGGCCGCCGTCGCGGCCTCCACCGCTTGCTGGGCCGCGAAGCTCGCAATAGTGGGCGGCTGGCGAACTGTAGACACACCAGCCGCAGGCTAAGGGGGACCCTGCCNTCCGGAGCTCGGCCGCCCTACGCTCGCAGGCCTCCCGCTGGGCGCGCACCAGCTCCGCATTTTCGGACCGGGCCGCCACAGCCTTCCGCTTTTGGGCTACTACGTCCCGGTGCGCTTCCTCCGCCCGGGCGGACGCGGCCTCCTCCAAGCGTCGGCTCAGGGCCACGTCTGTNTACTACGTCCCGGTGCGCTTCCTCCGCCCGGGCGGACGCGGCCTCCTCTAAGCGTCGGCTCAGGGCCACGTCGGCGGCAGCCGCTTTGCGGGCCGCTGTCGCGGCCTCCACCGCTTGCTGGGCCGCGAAGCTCGCAATGGTGGGCGGCTGGCGAACTGTAGACACACCAGCCGCAGGCGAAGGGGGACCCTGCCCTCCGGCGACCGGCCCCACGACCCGCGACGAACGACGGGCCGCGTCCGCGCCGCCATCCTCCCTATCAGCGGGCGTACCGACAAACGACCGCCCCACCGGAGAGGCAGACCCCGCCTGCTGGTNCTCCGGCGACCGGCCCCACGGCCCGCGACGAACGACGGGCCGCGTCCGCGTCGCCATCCGCACCNCCGGAGAGGCAGACCCCGCTTGCTGACGCGCTCGCCGGAGACGCTCCTGCGCCGCCCGCAGATGAGCCTCAGCGGCGGTTACATCGGCGGCGCTCTCGGCGGCACCCGAAGCACCGGCATCGGGACCCTGCGATGACGCGGCAACCGATAACGGGGAATAGCGATTTGTGGTGAACACGGGCGCGGGAGGGCGCGAAGGTTTGCGGGCGAGAGCGCGTTTCGCGGGGCTGCGGAACGACCCGCCCGACGCGGTTTTGCGCTCGCGGCGCAAGACCGCCTTGGAATGCGCCTCCAGCGCATTATCCGCCGCTTGCAAGTTGCGGGCGAGGGCAAGCGAATCAGAAAGACGCGGGTCGGCGCCCTCATCGGACTCGCTCAAAGTCTGCATGAGGCGAAGAGTGGCCGGCAAATCCGGGTCACTCACGACAGGGGACAAGGGGTCATGACGACCACGCAGCAGCTCTGCGAGCAATCGCTCCCGCCCCTCTACCGACCAGTTCTCGACCAAACCGGACACCAAGGACACGGAATCCGAAAAGGCTTGTCGCCGACTCACCGGGGCATCGAGGTAACCAGGCCCCTGGTCTATCAGCGCCGCAGCACCCTGCGAGGCACGAGGGCTATCCGCCGCCGCCACCTGGCTGGCCAGCAGCAACCCGCTGGCCGCTGCATTCGCGGACGCCGCTACGATGGCGTTGGCGAGATCGCCGCCATCCGCATCTCCACCGGAGCCGCCGTCCGCCTCCGAGGAATCCCCCGTAGCCTCCGGCGGGGCCACCGAGGCCGGCGACGCCGTCGCCGCAGGCGCGCCGACCAGGGCACCCTCTTCCGAGTCCGAACCTGACAGAACCGACGCATAGGAACGCGAATCCGTGACACGGGACGAAAGACGACGCGATTAGCGCGCGGGAGCACGAGCGGGTGGCGAAGCCAGCACCACGCGACGGGGCAAGTATTCACTCAAGGTGGTCCGACGACCGGACCGACTAGACTGTGACCGCGTGACTGGCCCACCACGCACGCGCGGAGATGTATGGGACCTACCAGCCGTACCCCGCTGAGGGGTCCGACCCAACTGCGACCGAGTAATCGGCCCTCGACGCACACGCTGCGGCACACGGGACCCACCTGACGCATCACGCCGAGGGGAGGGCGACCCGGAAGACGGAGGCGGCGACGCAACCGACCCATCGGCAGACCCAGCAGCGCTCATTGTGCCGACCGCTCGCTCCCGAAACGCAAGACGCTCACGCACCGCTGACGAACGTGACCCACCGTGACGGACTCGGACACCTCCGACGCCCTCTCGACGCGAGGTCCGCTACACAAGCGACACCGTCGACACGGTCCAGCACGCACCGCTCCGACTAGAGCGAACTGGACAACAGCACGCGGCTCCGACAACGGCGACGCTCGCACAGTCTTCACCGACCACCCGTGCGGCGACGGCGATCCTCTACGACCGAGTTTCTCGAACGGCCCCTCCCTCGTCGGGGGTGCGGTGGCACCACGCGCGTGGCGCGACAGCCGGCAGCGGCGACACTGCGGACGAACGCGTACGCGACACGGTGCTCGCACGCGGCGGAGACCGGCTCGCACCGGCGGCAGCGGCGACACGACGAACGCGGCTCTGACCCGTGGGTGCAGCGGTGAGACGACGCTCGCGGCTTCGAGTGCTTCGGCGCCGGCGCGACGCGGAGAACGCCACTCGGAAGACGGCACACAGCCGACCACGTGCAAGCAAGCTTGTCTCTAGCTTGATGCAGACGACGCCACTGAGGGGAGAACTGATACCGCCTCTTTAGTTCTGCAGATTCTAGCTTGGACGTGCGATGCACTTGCGTTCAAGCGTGGTTTGTGTGTGTGCTCTGCCTCAGCAGTTCGCCTCTTGGTTGACTCAAGCTTGTTCTGCTCACAGTTCTGTACGGTGAACTGAGGGTAGGAAGCAAGAGTGATCTGGTGTGCGAGGCTTAACGGAGCCAAGCTTCCGGACGGTCCTACCTCAAAGGTCATCGGTTATACGACGACACACGTCATCTATGTCATATGTCATCTTGTCTCTCTGATTGGTCCAACTTGGGCCTATGGTGGCACTTGTAATTATTCGCAGCACTTCCTGCTGAGAACTGGCCCTAGGTCGTCACTGCACGCTACAGCGGTCCCTTAATTGTATCTGCTGACCTAACCAGTCGGTCCTGTCGTGTACACAGTCGTCAGTACCCTACACTCATACACCGGTCGCCCCGGTGGTCTAGTGGGTAGCCTCGCAGCCTGCTAAGGGCCAGGTCATGGGTTCATACTGGCAGAGAGATGTTTTTTTCTCACTAATTAAATCCTGGTCTAGGATGAAAGCGACGCGCTGCAAAGCTCGTTTGTTAGTAAACCATAAACGACTTCGTAAGCCGCGAGGGAAGGGATTGCTGTACCCTTCTCGCGATAAAAATACCTCAGGCATGAACCGCAGGAGGGGGTCCAACCCCCCCTCCTATGTGACCCCGGTTGGGTCGTCTAGCTGGTAGAAGTGGAGGATAGGGGCCAGAGGGGCAGACGACAGAGTCCAATGATGGGAGAAAAACAAAACAATAAGTTGATAACAACACAGCATGCTTCTGCATTTACTGCCTTAGGGTAAACTTACTGGATCCTCGTCCAGTAGGGGTAAATGTGGTGGTATCCTTTCGAAAAAACAAACAAACAAACAAACAAAAAACTCACCGACGGTCCCGAACAGAAGATAGTCTGACAGTTACTCTGAGCCCAAAATAACGCCTCGAGAATTACACTGAAACCCATTATCACCACACTTCGTCCGCTCGGTGACGGAACATTGAGCTGAGACCACTATTGTACTCACACCTCACGCTCTCCTTGTCGTCGACTCCACCAGAGCATCCAAGCCAAGATCTCACAGGACGACTCACAGCAAGAAAAGAAGGTCAGGCTGTGAAGACCGTTCCTGGATAAATAACACGATGCACACCTTTTCAGCCTTCGCTGCTATGGTGCATCACGAAGCTCGTACGTTGTTGCCATCAGAGACCAGACTGCTGCCCAACCAACCGAACGTAGACTTCGATGCCGTACCGCTCATCAATGTGCCCAACCAATCGAACGTATACTTCGATGCCGTACTACTGCTAGTCTATGCAATTCTGCGGCCGGTTCATAGTTTATCCTCTCCGACGCCTGGACTATATTGCATGGATTTCTGCTGTACTTGGTACCGTCTTCGATCTCAGTGATCCCCATGCTTGCACATCTCCCGTACACGCTTACAATAGCAGCAGGGATAGCCATGGCCTATTAGGATAATCCGAACTGGGGGTAGCTTGTCGCAAGACATGCGTTGAATAGGTTATCGGTAACTCGGCGAGCTTGCGCCGAGGAGAAAAACTTGTTATTATTAGTTGCATCACATACATACAGACACAAGCCCCGTGAGGGGCGACGCCGTATACAACAGGGGTACCTTGTGTTGGGATGTAACCTCGTGATGGGTGTATCCCTGGATGTGGCAAGCACTTTTGCTAGATTTTGGCATTTGGCAACTGACATACGGTTTAATGTGAAGACAACAACAACAACAACAGCAACAAATCGTCTTTTTCGTTCGTTTCAGCCTACAGACTCATCATGGTTCTCATATGCATACAATCATATACTTCGTAGTACATACGACCAGCAGGCGATCACGAGGCAGCTACCGCTGCAGCTTTCTAGCTTTCTGATAGATGTGCTGGCGCCGCTGCTGCTGGTTGCACTGGTACTGGTGGTCGAATCATCCGGGATGCATCTGTACTCCGTGTGCGGTGTGCCGCTGCTGCTATTAAAATTACTAAAAATAAATGCTGAGCTGCGTGCCCGGGGTTGTGGTACGATAGTCTACACCGACCGAAAGTATGTAGTAGGTGACATAACATAGCACACCCCCCGGATCGATTTTCAAAGCTCTATTTCTCCACAGCAGACTTGGTGACGGTGCCGAAAATGGCGGTGTTGGAGCCGCCTCGTCGAGAGCTTTGCGAAAACGTATCGTTTTATTTGTCTACGCATTCTCGTCGTCGTGGAGTACACGAGATGTTTTTGAAAATATTCGGTCCACGGGTGCGGTATCCAATGTCATCTAGATAGATACCAACGGTACCATGCAGGTCGTGGTACGTGGCGTACAGCAGTACTGCTGTAGTACTGTAGGTCATGGTGGGCTGTTGTGGGTAGCGGTGTAAATACTAGGAGTGGAGGTGTACAGAGTAGGTTGGGGTGCTCAACAATAGGGCGTAGGAACTGGTAGGTGTAGAAGTTTTGTATTGTAGCAGTGACAATAAAGGACCACCGACTTGAGCAAGCGGCGACCGTTGCAGAGTACAATCCACGTACTACGCACGTGCATGTAGCATAATTTGTTGTTATGACAGTACTGTAATAGCATTGATGGCGCCATCTTGCTTATTTCTAGCCACGTACCTCTAGAACCATTTAGGGTTTATTGAAGAGCTGGCGCCTAATCTATACCCTCGATAGTCCAACAGAAGATGGGAATTGAGCGATTGAGTTTTTTCGACACCATTTGTTTGTTGAGTAAGCCAGCCTCGATGTCTTGTTGTGAACATAATACCAGGGGTAGGTATCATACTATGACAGTACTGTAGTAGCATTGATGGCGCTATCTTCCTTATTCCTAGCCACGTACCATCTAGGACCATTTAGGGTTTATTGAAGAGCTGGCGCCAATCTATACCCTCGATAGTCGAACAGATGATGGGGATTGAGCGTTTGATTTTATTCGGCACCATTTGTTTGTTGAGTAAGCCAGTCTCGATGTCTTGTTGTGAACATAATACCAGCGGGTATCATTTATCGCGGTGCGCTGTACGGGATTCGTTCTTCATGGGCAACAGCGTCTAACTATACTCCATGCTGTTCACATAGGTCGACATTGATTGTGCAACGGTACCTACCGGCCGCGACGCTTCCTAACAAACTATTTGCGGTACCTGTACATAAGGCAACATCAAGGATTGATTGGCCGGTCGCCCCGTACAATGCCGGCGAAACTGCGTGTGGTGACACGAATGAAACAGTCAAGCTACCTCATTCTCTGAACATAACCGGGTGCCGGGAACAAGGCCGGCCACACCCCTTGGCATTTGCAACCTGCTACAGGGACTACTGCTATAACTGCTGCTGGATATGTTTGTTTAAACCTCTCTCGCTCTCGGCGCGCTTGCTTCTAGATTTTTGTATTTGAACGAGCAAGTTGCATTCCCTTTTTCTGCACAGCTGTTGAACACCAACAACAGTACGAGCTTTAGTACAATCGATCCCGGCCAATACAAAACGCTTGCGCGGAATAAACCACAGGAGGAGGAGGAATGTTTCTTGAGGCAATGATTTTGCTTCGAGGGCGGGCTCTGAGCAAGGGGATATTATTATAGTTCATTTTTGTACCGCGAGAGGGGGAGAGATGGCAACCCCCTAGACCGATCTTCAAAGCTCGAATGCCCCAAAACCAAGCTTGCGTTGACGCGAGAAAAGGTGGTTGGGGAAACACCTCATCGAGGGCTTCTTCCACACACACTTGACCAATCGAGCCTTGAAAGTCGGTAGAGGGGTGCCATCTCTCCGCCTCTTAAGGTACTGGGTTATGAACTTCGAGGGTAGTGAACGATACTCTTAGTAGCCTATACATGATGTCACGGATACTCATGAATCGGAGTAGCACAGTAGTAAGCGTGCGACCATACTCGAAGGGACAACAGCTTGGAGAACACAGGGGAACACAAACGCATTTACTCACCTCAGGGTAGTCGGCACTTGAGCTTCACAACAACGACTGGCCTCTCTCTTGCGGTCGGAGCAGCTCCTCCCGTCGGCTACCAGGGCGGGTAGAAGAAGAAGGAGAGGCAGGAAGGAGTTCGGGCACCGTCGATGACGACACAGCAGGCAGACGTCTACATCTTCGTGAGCGCACAGCAGAACGGTGCCCGCAAAACACCGTGGGGGCGGGCGGGGGCGTACTCATGTGTTTTTTTGCTTGCGTGCAACTGTTTGACCATTGGCCACGCGTCCTCTAGAGGACAGAGCATAGGCAGTTAGTCGTGGGGGCTTGAGAACATTCCTTGGAACGAGGCAGATGTTCATGTATTATTGTCGGTTCTTGCGCCACTTATCTTCTCTTGGCTGCGTTATGTTGTGCTGCCTGCCTACAATCTTCGATTGCCCCTGCCTTTCCAGACCCTTCCTTTCCAGAAAGGTACTACGGCTGTAGTCAGCAACACGCTTGATTATTTTTGTGCGTCCGCCCGTGCATCACGTTCTTGTAGGGATACAACACCATCCAGCATGCAACAACACAAAACAAGTATCGAGCCCATAGACAACCACGCATTGCAACGCCTAAGTTGCCGCGTGACATAAGGCGCGCCTTTCGGATAGCAAAGTTCATCACCAGAGGGATATTGCCCACGGCTAACCTCCCCCTGGTTGACATCGAGAAGTTTCCCGAAACAAAAACATATTTTCGGACTAACACACAGTGAGGCTGCACGGTTTGATGGGGCTCGTTGGAGGTGGAAGTCAGCGAGGGCTTGGTGACGGGTCTGATCGTTCTATGTATCAAATCGTCCAAGAGGGCGGTTATTACATGTGTGTCAAGGCCGGTTGTTTATACTCCAAGCCCAACCAGTTTCTCCCACGTGTACTCGCCTCGGTTCCGATGATGAATAGTTGTTTGGTGAGGGTTGATTACGACTGTATGCATACGATTCCACAGCGTTGGTGCCCACTCATGTATTGCATGCCTTAGCTGGTAGAGCATTGACCACGCGTCCTCAAGAGGACGGGACATTGTTCCCACAGGATCAATCACCGATGTCCAATCATCCCTTCCTACTTTCGCGAACGTGGCTCAAAGGCGTTTTCCCTATCCTGTCTACCATATCGGTATCACTTCCCGCCTTTCAGCCCACTTCCTATGCCCCCATTTATGGCTACCGTCTTCTCTTGGCTATTCCATGTCTCGAACATCTCTCTTTGCCTCCATGGCCTTCGGGGGGGCGTTTTCAATCATCGAGGTACCCTCACATCCATAAACAGATAAACAGGAGCACTCAGAAAGGAACAGCACAGCGCTGCACCAACTATTGATAGTTTTGTTCGTGTGGCATGCATACATAGACTACTGTAATTGGAATAAAGGCACATATCTTTGTCGTTGGGCCTACCCCAGAGTTCTGCGCACGCCCGACTCCACAATACGACGTGAAGGAAGACAGATGGATACTGTTTGCCGGCTGGTGGCTACCCACTCCTTTGCGGGAGACTCTTTGGGGGCACTCCTTTGGAGGACACTCCTTTGGGGGAGGTTTCTTTGGGGGAGGCTTTCACCTACCTGTGAAATGATTGCACAACAACAGCAGCTAGCTGCTGCCACACACGGCCATCCGCCCTTCTTTCCGCCTCCCCTGGATCACATACACAGTCAGCAACCTTGGATTCAAAGCACTCACTCGAGCTAACCGTTTCACACATCTCCTGTAAGAAGCATCTCGAACGGTATATACACAGAGCACTATGTCATGCCATGTAGATGTTGACTACGGGATTGCTTGAAATCCACTCTTACTTAAAGTTCGCGGGGCCACTCCTCCAGCAAGAACTTGCTGTAGACACATGCTAGAGAGGAGGAAAGCCACGTGGTGACAGAGGTTACCACTCTCAGATAAGAACGTCTGTGTGATCAATGGGGAACCCCCTGCCTCCTGTGGCAACATAGCAGATGCCATGCATGGCGCTCGCAAACTACTGCTGTGGCCAGAGGTGTCCCGCTGCTCAAAGGTCGACGAGTTTTCGTGGAGCGGGGGGATTTGGCCTCACAAAACTAACAGATCGTGTTGACCCTTCGCCAGAGAAAGGGGCTATCCACCCGTACCTGCCTACACATCTTGATTGCTTTGTTGGCTGTGTGGATTGCCTCTCATGGGACAGGCCATCCGTGCTCGCAAAAGATACCCACATGCCAACCAAAAGATACCTTGTGCTTACTTGCATGTAATGCGGTTTGTTCCCGGAAGGTCGCAACATCAGGATGATCCAAAGAGCGGATGAAACCATCGCAGCTTCTCTCACCTGGCACGACTGTCGAAGTTGTAGCACATGCGTAGCGTTTGAGAACCGAAAGAAGAAGCAGGCAGCAGCAGCTCTCCGGCAGGCAACCCTCCGCTTGTGTTGGTTGTGAGCTGTGGGCGGACCCAGCAAGGGGGTTACGCGGGAAGGGGGTAAGGTTCTGTAGGATTTCTTGCGGCATTTTCTTTTCGCGGGGCCCCAGCCCCTGTCTGTGTAAGCCTGTGGGGACGGTTCGTTAGATCCTCACCGTAGCCAGCAGGTAGCAGAGGCGATAGCCTGCAAAGCACGTGCGCCTTGATGTTTTGAGAGAGTAAGTTCAACGGCTTGGAGACGAGAGACATGTTTTTTTTTTATTTGTGCGGCATATGTAGACGAGTGGATTGAGAAATAAGCCGCTTGGCGGGTGGATTTATCACGCACAACAGCTTGATTGGAAAACTGTCCCGATCATCTCGTAAATGCCGGTCAGACAGAGAGGGATGTGCAGCAAAATGCACGCAAAGGCCCACCTCCATTGTTCTTCAGAAACAACGGACTAGCCCCGGTTACATTGCACACAACATAAACGTGCCCGTAAGTGAACCTTCCGTAATTGTTCCCACGCACCTCGTCGAAAGGAGCAAGATTTTTCTTTACATGCTTTAATTTTCCTGCCCCGCTGAATTGGTGGACATTTCCTCACGACACTTTATGTTTACCCGCTTGCAGCATGGGGCCAACACCGCCCCGTCTCTCTGGGCCAGCCTATCCAATATTATCCTTTTCACATGGCGCTATCACGAGAATTTTCAAAAACATGCATACACGTAACCGCTACCCCACATCTACGGTTTCTAACAAATCAAACAGACGCTGATCGATCTTCGACAAGCCAAATTATATTTAGCACACTCAAATCCTTCTTTACGAGAACTAGGCCAGTTTTCGCCATGCTGCACCTGACACCTACTCCAAAACAACTACAACGCCGAGGTCAAGAATACCTGTCCTCCTCTCACCCTTCACCCCCACCCCCCACCTCCGTCATGCCGCTCACACCGATACCAGACTCATGATCTGCATTGGTGCTACAAATACGAGGGTGTTATGCAGCGCACGCTTGTGTTGGACCAGTGCGGAAATAAGAAGGTACTGAGCGGAGACCGCAACAGCTTTTAACGTGAAGACAACAACAACGACAACAGCAACAACGCTTTCTGGGGCAGAAAAAGAACGCCTTCCGTCGGCAGTCTTTGAAGGCATCACGTCTTCTGCCACCCGCTTCTCTGCGGCTCCAATAGGCAACGTAGGTCATCATCAGGTAAGCAACCAACGAGTACTTCCCCCACCCCCCTCGAACATCATGCCACGTGATCTGCACCCAAGTTTGATTTTCCAGCTCAAAGCTCTTAAGACGACATCGCCCCGCCTCGATGCAGGATCGCCCGCACGAGGCCCGCGTGGAGAGCTACCAGCGGCACCTATCGAACAAATACCCATTGTCTACCGGACGTGTCTCCCTTTTTTATGTTACCCACGTCGTTTCCGTTCTTCCAAACAAAAAACGCACACACACGTACGAAAAGACGTACATTTCATGTCATACGCTACCCGCGCCCTCCAACACACAAGAGAAAAAGCACACTCGAATTCTCCATGGGCGTGTCAATCCCCCCATTGTTAAGTCTATTTTAAGCTTCCGTGGGTGCAGTACCAGCACCAGAAGTGCTTGCGTTTTCGACCTTCTCTCCATCGACTTTGAGGAGGCCCTCGGTCAGGGCGGCTGCTGCAGCAGCTTCTTCCGACTCAACGGTCACCTGTGTACAGCATACAAGAGAGAGAGGGAGAGACAGGGAGACAGAGAGAGAGCGAGAAGGAAAGGGAGAACGAGGTACAGAGAGGTTGAGAGATTGAGAGGATGACAGAGGAGAGAAAGGGGGAGATATGTAGCGAGAGAGAGCGAGAAGAGAGAGAGAGAGAGAGAGAGAGAGAGAGAGAGAGAGAGAGAGAAGGGTGAGCCATCAGGGGGAGAGCGGGAGCATGGGGAAACGTCGCAAAATGTTTTTGAATACAAAGTCGAAGTTGTCTCATGCCTCCCACCGTAGTAGAGAAGCCTATAAGGGAGATGCGTGCGGGAATAAAAGGAGAAATACAACAAAAACAGCAGCACAAGCAGCAGCAGCAGCAGCAGCAGCAGCAGCAGTGGCAGTACCGGACCAGCCACCACTGAAGGCTACGGCATCCGTTCGTGTTAGGCTTCATCACTCGCCCTCACACCGTCATCTTTGGGTGCCATCGACCCCCAACGGGTTGATTAAAAGTGTCGCGCTCTTAACCTTGCAATGCTAACGTGCGATTTGGATGAGCCGAGGCCAAGCTTCTATGCAAAACTATCAAGCCGGCAGCACCAACGATTCTAAAAGAAACAAACACAAACACATTTGAGAGCGATGAAGGGGGAGGAGAGGGAACGGGAGGACCAGAGAAAGACCACAACAGTAATGGAGGAGAGAAGCATGGAGTGGATGAAAGCAAGAGCTTCGAGCCCGAAGACCGTCCCCACAACAAACGACGCAGGGCTAGAGAAGAGAAGAGAACTGCCGACAAATAGTCGTAAAAATGACGACGAGAATGATTGTGGTGAAAGCAAGGAGGATGGTGATGCAAGCAAGGAGGATGGTGGTGAAAACACTCCAAAACGAACTAGAGTGAAAGGTACCAGCCTTGGTAGACGCGTGCAGCTTCTTCTGTTACCACCGTTTCTGTCTTTGGTCCGAAGGATAGTTTAGCCTCCCCCATGCCGCCCCCCCGGTGTTTGCCATCGGGATTGGGTTTTCGTCGCTTGGCAACGACGTTGTAAAACAAGCCGCCCCCCCCGGTGTTTTTGGCGGTAGCGNCCCCCCCCATGCCGCACCCACACGGGGTCCCAGTTCATGGCAGATAAAAGTGCTTTATGCTTTCAACTGCACTAAGACTGACCCTCTTTTCATTGATCAGCCGGTTAGCGCGGTCGATGCTAATAATAATAAAACACACACAGGTTTCTACCCTTTGACCACGTAAGGCGTCCGCGCAAGCTGGACCGGCACGGACGTTGTTTCTACACAGAGATCGGCACGGTCTGAATGTCAAGACATCCCACAACGATACACACCTTGTCTCCCAGGATCCGTCGCAGGTCTGCCTTGTGCACGACGTTGTGCTCGAGGAGTGCCGCCGAGAGGCTGTCGGTCTTGTCGCGGTGCGTTCGGATCAGGGCGAGGGCGCGCTGGTACTGCTGCGCCAAGAGGGTCTGCACGAAACCAAGAAGACGAGCGGGGATAGAGAGGGAGGGAGGAAGGGCGAGAGAAGGAGGGAAACGGAGAGAGGGAGAGAGAGGGAGACAGGGGGGAGGGATGGAGAGGGACAGAAGGGGGGGGGGGGGGGGGGGGG